AGTTGTGCAGCATATCAATGATTAGGTATAAAGAGGTTTTTTGTTTGTTTATTTAGGGAGGACCAAAGGAGGTAGAAAAGAGGCAGGAGATATCAGTATGCCAATAATAGTATCTATAATATAGAAGGTCTCTGAAACTCAGATTGTTCTTAGGGTAAGCATGAAAGCAGACTTGTGTTTGTATATGTTTCAATTTATTTCATGAATTACTATTGAAGCTGTGTATTTAAGAATATGTTTTGAAAGCTATTTATTTAAGAATATGTTTTGAAATGGACTGTAGTGGTGTACAACTGAAATCTTGACACTTGGAATTCAGATGCAAGAGGATCAGTATGAGCTTGAGGCCATTTTGAGCTATACAGTGAGTTCAGTTCCAACCTGAACTACAGAATTAGAATTAGACTGTTTAAAAAAAGTGGAAAAAAATGCATTTTGTCTCATAGTACCTAAAGCAACTGAGTTCAGTAGTTCAGTGTTAGAGCAAAGCCTCACTGTGACTGAGGTCCAATATTCAATCTGTTCACTGAAGAAAAAAAGAAATTGTAAAGCTGTATCTTCTAACGTTGCTTTATTACAGTCTATATCACATTTATAAGTTGTATTTGACAGAAGAATTTGTATTTTCAGGCAGAGTCTTGATTTTTTGAAAAAATATTTATAACTTGCATCATCAGTCTAAATACATCCATACCTATACTCTGAATATATCAGTTTAATACATCCATACCTGTATTCTGAATATTTCTGAATGCATTAGAATTAACAATTTTTAATTCTACTCTGTTGTACCATAAAATTTTCCACTAAAACCATGACTGAGGGCTAGGGATATAGCTCAGTGTTGCATCATCTGCCTAGTAAGCACAAGGTCATCAATTTGATTCCCAGTACCGCTCTGACCCTAAAACACAGAAATAAATAAAAATGAAAACATGACTGAGTTAAGTCTGTTTTTCACTGAGTAGAGTTATGCTGTTTACTACTTGAATTTTAGGGAAATTTTACAAGATATTTAAGATTCTATGCTAGGTGCTTACAATTACAAATTCCTGCTGAATTTTCCACTGATTATATTGTGATCTCCCCCTCCTTTAGACTCCCAGGAAACTGGATTTGCAAGTGTGTAGCATTGTTTCTATCTTTGCTGTTTGTGTAGAAGAAAATAATGGTAATAGTACAGATTAAAAAATCAAGGGCTGGGGATTTAGCTCAGTGTGTCAAGTGCCTACCTGGTAAGCATGAGGTCATGTGTTTGCTCACTAGCACCAAAAAAAGAAAAAACCTAATTAAATAATAAATTAAAGATCAGACACCCAGGGAGAATACATTTATGAAATTCTCCCAACCAAATGTTTATTTCTTAGAACATTCTCACTATTAGAAGGATTATACACTGATCATGGCTGTGTACACTGATCCAAATGCATGCTGTTCTCTACAGTCAGTGTTAATAAACCTACATATTTGCTAAACTTTGCCTCAAGAACTTAATGTATAGGTCAAGTGTTATGGTCATTAAAATTGAATTGATTAGAAAAAAGTACAGTACATAGGTTTATTAAGTTTCATTTTATTTTTTTTTTCACAATCTATCTTTTCATCACATGTCTTCATTCTGATTTGGGTCTTGGCAGGTACAACACATATGCATCTTGTAAAAGTATTAACTTTATCTCAGTTTATCTTCTTTGCCTTCTTGCATTTCCCATGGCAGCTGCAATATCTGCTGCAGTATGTCCTCATACTGTTGGGGAATCTGCTCACCTGGGTACTTTTCAGAGTGACTGAAGAATACCCACATTATGTATGCTTTTTGTTGTTTTTATTCATCTCCAGAATTGTATGCAGTGTTACCATAATTGTCAACCTACTGTTTGTCACTTCTGTGCCATTCTCATTACCCAGGCTCACCAGATACTCTGCAATTTTTGCTTCATGCAATCCTAGTTCATAGTTACAAGCTGTGCCCACTGTTTGCATATTTCCCTGACACAGTGATACAGTATTCACATGCTCTGTTCATATGCAGCAGATAGTGACAATTCCAGTTTTCTTCATTGCCCTTTGTGAATCCACAGTAAATCCAACATTTTCACTGCTGTGTTTTCCTTTATGAGGGAGTCTGTATACACAAGAAATTTGTGCATCATGTAGGTGATCCTATGATCTGTTTAGCTCTCATTGTCCTCTTCTGTATCTTAATTGTGTCAGACTTTATCCCAATCCTGAAGGACTGCAGCTTTGCCCATGAGTGCAGTCTGCCTCTCTTTGGTTGGCAAGGACTCTGATTCTTCCTCTGTCACTTATTTCTAGCCCAAATTCTGCAGTGTTTCAAAAGGGACTTTAGATTTGGATGCACAAGGTCAAAAATCCTCTAACTGTTATTCTTTGGGTGAGGGATCCAAAGAGCATACCCACAAGGAAGTTAGGAATCACAGTCACCCTCAGAAATTAAGAACAAAATAAAGGAGAAATAAAAAGCAGATGAATAAAACAAGAAAATACCAAACAAAAAAAAAAAAAGAAAAATGAATGAAAAAAATCGTTCTCTTCCAGGATTCTCTCTGGATTCATTATTAGATGGCCTACGGATACAGTGTTCTGAGTCCTGCCACTGTTTCCCTTCAAACCAGGCACTGCCTTATGATGGAGTAGTAGACAGCATTAGCCAGCCTTCCTCAAGATGAGACTCATTGGAATAAGCTCAGTCCAATCAATTTCCATGCCTCTGCACCCAACTAGGATCTTCTAAAGGAAGCCAGCAGCTGTTCTGGTTAAGGTTCATCTGACTTCACTTCAACATGGCTCCCGTCAAACATTCCCTCCCTCTGAATAACAAAATCCTTCTCCATTCTGTGCCAGACAGTAAAGACCTCAATGCCCGCTGCTTAGCTCCACTGCTGAGTCTCTCAACAATGTCCAGTGGGCTCACCAGCTGCCACAGTTACCATGAACAAGAGTCCCCTGGTCCACACATCTCCCCTAACTAGTGTTGATGATTTCCTGATTCTGCAATAACTAGCATAACCGAAATAGGTTCAATGCCCATATCAGTACAATACCCAACAAGCATCATTGCTATGCTCTCTTAGTTAATTTTAGGTCCTGAATTGTATGCAAGATATGTGCACTAGTTGTAATTCTGTTGTGTAGATTTTGATATTTCTACATTAAAAAGATACTTTCTGGAAGAAAATGACAAGAAAAATAGAAATCATATGTAATTTGCAATAAATTTTCTTCTCTACAGCTTCTTTTATAAATATGAGCATAACACTATTAGAGACACACACAGACACACAAACACACACACACACACACACACAAACACACACACACACACAAAGTATATTTAAGCTAATGAAAGGCAAGCTCTTGAAGTCCCTTTTAAATAGGGTAAATTTTTTCCAAAATTAACCCTTCTTAGAATATTGAATAAGTTTCTTCCTTGGATACACTGTGGAATTCCATTTGCATGGAAAATGTCATCAGCCTTGTAGGAACATTTTGTACATTTTTTCACGAATTCTCTTTGTGTAGCAATGCCTTTTAAATCAGGCTGATGAAAGGTGGGAAAATGCTGCTTTTGTTTCTAATCCAGCCCTAGAACTGTGTTAGAACTGAATGAGCAAAAATTTTTCCACATTCTTCTGTACAGATACAAGAGTATTGCCTGGCATATACCTTGTGATACATAGTAAGTTGCTGTTTATTGAGATTACAAGATGACAACATCAAGAGTAGGATGAATTACAAGTGCAAAATGGAAAGTAAAGAGGAACAGAATCTTGAAAGATTCAGGGTTATAGTACCTAAGAATTTAGACCCGGATGTCTTCCACAGAGGTGTGATGAGGCTAATCCATGTGCCTGCGTTCAAGGTCAGATACATTTGGCTCCTATTGCATCCCATTTTGGTTAGAAAACTCTAACACTGTTCCAGGTTTTACTAGGGTTTGTGATTTGCTGACTGAGAGATCACTACATGCTAACTATACACATAAATAATCAGTCATATTGTGATTAGAGTGGAATGAAGGAAAGGAAATGGGTCAAGCAATTTTACTATTTGTCACTAGTCTCCTACCACTTTCATCATCTGGGACTCCTGGATAGATACTTTATTTATTATTGTGTTGTTTGCACATAAGAGTTGGAAGAGTCACAAGATGCCTTCACTAGTAGCTAGAGAATGTGTGACACACAACTTTGGATGATACTGGTAAGTTGGTGCCTCCAGGGACTTTGGCAGGCCTTTCAGTGCTTGCCAAATGCAGTTGGTGAATTCATTGCTTCAGAATGCCTGTAAAGTTATGGCAAATTCTTGTTCATCTTCTGTCATATATTTTTCTTAGAAATAAGCAGTCAAACAAGTGGTGTCTTCCAAAAAATCTTTTGCTAGTAATGTTGGATTAGCATTAACCCCCATAGAATCCCGACATCACAGAGGGATGATTGTTTTCTGGAAACGGGAGCACATCAGCCTTCAAGAGTTCGCAACTGTGACACCAACTGAGGAAATGAACAAGCATTCTCAGTCCTAACTCCTAATGCTTAACAGCTGGCATGTCATTCTCACAAGAGTTTTAATATAGCGCTATGTCTCACTGTTTGCCCTTCAGCCACTTAAGTTGCAAATCTTGCCTGGTTCCTCTCTAGAACTACAAGGAAAACATTCTTAGGGTCAATTTGCACATTCAGTATAACTTCCATCACTATGAAGTGCTTGACAATAAGTCACTGTAACACATATTTGTACACAGAGAAGCTGAGAAGACCTGTGCTTGCCCTGAAAAATCTTCTGCCCTAATCCACTTTGCTCCATTCATTTCACTATGAGGAAATTACACTTTGTAAGTTATTTTCTATGTTTTTTGTTGTTCATTTGAGGCAGTGATAGAAACTCATACTTTTTAATTTCCACATTTCATTTAAAAGATAACAATTATTTACATATTTGGAAAGAAAATATTAACATTTGAATGTTCTCCCTTGTAGAATGAAAAGCAATTCCAAAGCAACTGGGATGGCTCCTACATAATCAGCAAGTCAGGTATGGACAGCTGAGGAATCTGTGTCCTCAAAGTTTTCACACCAAAATTAATAAAAAATTTCCTTGTTTCCTCTTTTAAAGTTTTTCCTGTTTTATTCTCTTTAATGAGGAGGAGAGAATGGAAGTGAAATAAAACTTGAGGGTGATAATACCAAAACACATATTCCCACAACATCTAAGAACCATCGTTCTTTTCGAGAAATATGCACACAGAGTGAATTATTTTGTCTCATTTTCAACCATCTCAGCCTGCTTGAGGGGAAAAAGCGACACTTCTAGGAGTGAGGACACAAGAATAGGACATATGTATGCCAAATATCTGCAAAAGTCAGGCAGTAAACTGAGACAAAGAAGCACTTGCCTAGCAATAACCGGGTTGTGAGTTGTGAGTTCAAGCCATGATAAATACCAAGAAAAATAGAGATAGATAAACAGACAGACAGATAGATACACTTAGAGACAGAGAGAGAGAGAGAGAGAGAGAGAGAGAGACAGAGAGAGAGAGAGAGAGAGAGAGAGAGAGAGAGAGAGAGAGAGAGAGAGAGAGAGAACTCTTAGTGATTTTACTGCATAATTGTTTTACAGGTTGTTATCCAATGTTGATATTCAAGAAGATTTACACAACCAGCATATAAAGGTTTACCAGCTATAAGCCCTCATTAAACAAATGTTTTGAAATCTGTACCTGTTCAAGACAAGGGGATTCATTTCCTTAGATATTTTTAAAAGCTCTGAGCCATTACAGAGTCTAGGTGATTCCAAAATAACACCACAAGCAATTTTTACAAAAGTCCAAAATTTGAGATGAAACCCACTTCGTTCTCACTTTTAATTTTACTTCTATTCTTCATAATACAATAGAAACATGTATTCTATTGTTGCGGATATTAAATGTTCACAGTGAGAAAGTTCTTTATGAGATTTATAATGTTAATTTGCCAACACCCATTTCTCAGTGCAGTTGTAAGTTATAAATTTTGCTTCCTCAAGATGAATTCCTCTGAAATACATAAAACGTTTCTACATTTAATTCCCTTTTTTGCCATTTTCATAAATCTGAGCATTTTCTTCTCTTTTTTCTCCAAGACCATGATTGGACTGCTCGCTCAGAGGCCTAGATTTTGAGGGAATGTGCTGTAGTTCTTGTGCTGCCTGTCTGTGTCACTGGGACAGGACAACATGAGCAAAGATTTGCATCATGTGATTGTCCTTTGGCTTCAGCAGCCTGAGTTCTGGGACATTTATTTCTGCCATCTACTATGTTAATTAGTGACATTGTTCATCCATTGTGTTCATCCTGTGGGTGGGCCTGAAATCATCAGCACACTCTGAAATTTTTCTTAGCTTCTGGATCTAACATACAGAAAAAGGATGAGGAGCCCAACAACTGTATAAAGTAAGATTCAGGTTCATTTATAGAGAAAAGTGTGGGACAGTAAAAAGCCCATGTTACAAGTGGGGTGCCCAGGGATGCATGATGGTGCAGAAAGCCAGGAAAGAGTCTTGCATTTACAGAGTGAAGTTCATGGTCCCTGCCTCTAAGGGTAGCCCCACCCCAGGTTGGTCTGCAACATTGCCAGGAGTTTCGAATTCAGTTTGGCATCAACATTGTAAAAAAACACTTTGCACAATATTATAAAACACAAATTTCAGAATGCATGATACACGGCTTCAAAATTCTCAAGATCCCATTTCCTTTTTCTGACCCTAAGATGGTGGTCCCTTCTCTCCCCTAGCGAGGCACAATTTAATCTTTCCACATAGAAGAGTGAAGTTTCCACAGATTGCCCTAGCATATTATGGTTCAGTGGCAGCAAATGTGGCCACGGTTTTGGGAAGATAAATGGAGATGTGGGATCTTAGGACAGTCTCAGAGGCTTGCATGGGGGTACCATGAATGCACACTGCATGGAAACCAGAGAGTGATAGGCTTCGGCCACCAAGTGAGGGTGTGACAACACCATGGCCTTCCACTCAGAGGTCTCCAGGATGTCAGAAACATAACAATTGATGAAATCCAGTGTCCAGGTTTTCAACTGATGTGCATTGTGGAGGTCAGCCAAGATGAGGATTTCCACGGCATTGTCCACAGAGAGGTTGCTGCAGAGGTGGTTCTCACACATGAGCTTCAGGTGCTCCAGACCAAACCTGGTTGCAGCCTCCAGCAGTTCAGTTGCCATGATCCCTAGATTTGGTGCCTTTCCAGTGTACATAAAGTATATCATTTCCTTAAAAACTTCAGGATCCATGTCACTGATTTCAACAGGATTCTTTTTGCTTCCTTGCTTTTCATGTTCCAACAACGCCATGAAAACTGGAGAGCGAGCTGCTAAGATGGCTTTGTGAGCCTGGAATTCCTGGCCAGCCACACACAAGCAACAGTCTGTGAGCTGGGATCGCTCCCACAGTCCTCCTAGATCCTCTGCCAAGCAGACTTCAGGAACCTTATCCAGCTTCATAATATTCTGGCTGGAATTATTGGTGGGATCTTGTGCTACTTTCACTTCACAGAAGAAGGAAAGCTTGTCATTGGAGAGAAGCCCATTGTTTGGATCCAAAAGAAACTCTCTAAGGATGAAATTTTTGAATCCCCAGCACTTTCTTTGCACAAATGTAAAAGCTTGTTGACTTGAGAGCTCTTTTGTTTTCTCTCCTTTGGCATTCAGAATGGAAAAGGTGAATTTTGCATGAGCTACCCTCCTTGGACAGCAGATCATTCCCAGGTATAGGGACAGATAATCTTGGCTTTCTTCATCAAGCCCATTTGGGTAGACTAGTAAGCGCCATTTCACTTGATCATTTCCTTCAGCTGAAAACATTGAACTTTGAATGCAGTCATCTATTTCCTTTAGGCAAAATCTAATGTTATCAATGGTCCACAAATAGGACACATTCACTACTTTGATATCTGTGGTGTACCTTCTGTCCACTGTTGACTGCTGTGACATTTCTGCTGGGCCTGCGGTACTGGAAACCCTTAACATCAGGAGAGTGAAAGTGCAGCAAGCTTGTCAAGTCACAGGAATCAAATTTCTTCTTCATCAGATGGCACAAATTTCACTGCAGTCAGCAGTTCCAAGACAGGCAGGGCAGTATGGCAATCACAAGTAGAGAGCCTAATGTATAGATTAAAAGAAATAAGTATTTAGAAATAAGCTGACTGAGATTTCCTAGTATATAAGACAATTCTGAAATGTTTCTTGATCACTCAAAGAAATAGCTCACCAAAAAGCACAGATCTGAAAATATGAAGCCTTGTTGAGTCCCTTCTGAGTTGCTTTCAGGAGGCTAATTCATCTGGGCTGGAAGCAAGGATATGTTTTCCAAGTTTCGAGCAGGGAACAGCCTCATCATGGAAACCGAAAGGATTCTTCCTTCTTGGTGTCCCTTTTATAACTCTTAGGATAGGATCCACCCTATGGTAGTTCTTCCCACCCTATTCTAATCCAATTGCCTTAGGTGTGTCTCACTCAAAATGTGAGAGTCAGTCAATTTTCATCCTACCTGTGTTTTCCATATGTGTATGAAAACATTCTGTTTTACTATCCAAGAATTTCTTTTTTCTCATTCATATGGGGGAGTTCTCTGGTCTATCTTCTTCCTCCCATTGACAGAAGATGAGAGGCCGGGGTGCAGGATGTAACTCCAGCATGCCACTGTTCTCAGTAGGCCCTCTGTTTTTATTCCTTTCTGGTGGTAAGGAGCAAAGCAGGACAGAGAGGTCACTAAGGCAACTTTTCCCTTAGGATCACATGTGGGTGAAACCCAGTTGCAGGGAAGTAATGTGAAAGGAGCAGATTCAAGGCTCCATGAGAAATAGGTATACTGGGAGGGAAGAGGTGGTTCTTCTGGGTAATCTGATACAGTGTTGGGAGCAAGGGACATGGATTTGGGACAGGTATAAACAGGGAATATTGGCAGAATGTCTCTAAACCTAAAGTCTAGTGTGGGATAACTGTAAATGCTACTTGCTCAGAGATCTTAGATTTCCTACTAACCCAGTTCACTCCTTGGACCCAATGTTTGGAACTAGTAAAAATACTGAGTTCCACTGGCATTTCCTGGGACATGGGTCATGGTGGGAGTGCCAGGAGTGCAAGCAAACCCTGTTCCCAGCGTGAGCAGTTGTGAGCCTGCCAGTCGGCAGGCTGACAAAGAAACATCACATCTTCTGCCCTTCTCCCATTAGCAAGTGGGAGCCAGTAATCTGGAGATCTATTGAGAGGTTGACCGTAGGCCATGTAGTAAAGAGAAGATTTCCTTCTATCATCTCTTTAAAGCCCCATACTTTTATACATGTTTTGCTTTGTTCTATATTATACGGTCTTTTTTTAAAAGCTGGTTGTGTTTAACTGCGTTTCCACATACATGAAAGTATGCACAGGTATTTTGAAGCAAACCAGAGATTCTAGCACAGCCATAAGTGACTTCCTTATTGTCTGATTTTAAAGACCTAAAACTCCTTTCTCATACTGTTTGGATTAATTTTTATCCTAGGTTGCTCAGTATGAATTCTCTGTATGGCAAGACATGGACAACTATTTGGAAGAAAACAAGAGACAATATGATAGATAGGGAAGATCTCAGATTATCTAGTTTTGAAATTTATATCTTTTACATTGAGTTCTTATGTCCAATTTTGCTCTCTTTCATTGTGTTTAACTTTATCCCCATTGACAAAAAAAAAAAAAACAATGGTGATTTGCAGGGTGTGGGCACACACATCTTTAATCCCAGCACTCACAAAGCTGTGGCAGGAAAATCATTGAAGTTTCAAGGACATGTGGGATTAAGTACCAACCTGAATCAAAAACCAAAGGAATGAAAGGACAGAAGGAATGAGGATGGAATGAAGTAAGGAAGCAAGGAAGGAAGGAAGGAAGGAAGGAAGGAAGAAAGGAAAGAAGGATGGAAGGAAAGAAGGAAAGAAGGAATGTAGGGAGGTACAGAGGAAGAAGGGCTAGCTCTTCAGGGATAGATATCACTGGCTTTCTTCCAAAGCTTCTCTTTTTTCTGTTTTAAATACTCAGATGTGTGCTCCAGTTTTCCACCAGACTCAGAAGTGTTACATACCCTCACGTACTTGGGGACCTTATTGGGAGGAGCACAACAGTCCTAATCCCTAACAGATTTTTTTTGTCTTTTTCATTTTTATTGTACCATGGATAGAACTCAGGATTACTGCTTGCCAGGCAGGTGCTTATCCTGCTGAGATAAACCCCCAGGCCCTCCCTAACAGATTTTAATACTCTATTTTTGTTTGATTGTCTGCAAACTTGTCTATTACACATGGGCAGGTAGAATTCATTTAATCATTGCTAACTGGAGAAATAATTGCCTCAATTATTGGTAGGTTAAATTCCTTTTCTGTACCTGGAAAGCTTTCTGTCATGATGTCCACAAACTGCTTTTAATGTCATTTTTTGTCTCTTCTTGTCACTAAGTGCCAGCCTGTACTCAGTCTCTGAAGTCCTTTCCTCAAACTAGCCTACAGTGTTCTGAATTTTTAAAATGCATTTATGTTTCCTTGGATATCAGCTTGAAGCTATTTAATGGGTTCATTTATTTCTTAGGTGGTGCTTCAATAATTCTTGTAAGCTCGTCTTTTTTTTGTCTGTGTCTGCACTAACATCACTAAGAATGTTGTGTATTTTGGTAATCTCTGTAGTTACTTGTAGTTACTAGAGAAATTACTTCTGATTTAATATTTTCCACAGCCTCATTCAATTGCCTTGTTGCCACATTGAAGTAACCTACTATTGGGTTTTCAAATTTTCCAACCTCATTTCCCCCCAGGTTTGCTTTGTTGGCCAGGGTGCCAGAGGATTTGTCAGATTTGTGTGTTCTCATGTCTTTCCTGTTTCAATTGAATTCCTAGAGTGATACTTGCTAGTTTCCTAACAGTATGAACTGAATATGTGAAGATAAAACAGAATGCAAACAATTATTAACAATGTATGAATTCATGATATGTCCAATCTGGCCTCAAGGGTTAAGATTCCAAATATATTTTGGAGAAAGCAGAGGAACGGCAAAAGGGAAAGAGATTACATTAAAACGGAGATGATACATGGATCCCACCTACTGGGGGAAAATAATGTAGAAGACTAAAAGAGATTTGAAAGAGAAAAATTTAAATCCAAACAAAAGCATACCCACAGTGAAGTTAGGAATCACAGTCACCCTCAGAAATTAAGAACAAAATAAATAAATAAAGAAATAAAAAGCATATGAATAAAACAAGAAAATACCAAACAAAAAGAAAAATGAATGAAAAAAAATCGTTCTGTTCCAGGATTCTCTCTGGATTCATTATTAGATACCCTATGGATACAGTGTTCTGATTCCTGCCACTCTTTCCCTTCAAATCAGGCCCTGCCTTATGTTGGAGTAGTAGACAGTGTTAGCCAGCCTGCCTCAAGCTGAGACTCATTGGAATAAGCTCAGTCCAATCAATTTGCATGTGTCTGTACCCGACTAGGCTCTTTGAAAGGAAGCCAGCAGCTGTTCTGGTTAAGGTTCATCTGACTTCACTTCAACATGGCTCCCGCCAAACATTCCCTCCCGCTGAATGACAAAATCCTTCTCCATTCTGTGCCAGACAGTAAAGACCTCGATGCCTGCTGTTAGCTCCACTGCTGAGTCTCTCAGCAATGTCCAGTGGGCTCACCAGCTGCCACTGTTACCATGAACAAGAGTCCCCAGGTCCACACATCTCCCCTAACTAGTTTTGATGATTTCCTGATTCTGCAATAACTAACATAACCGAAATAGGTTCAATGCCCATATCAGTACAATACCTAACCATCATCATTGCTTCGCTCTCTTAGTTAATTTTAGGTTTTGAATTGTATGCAAGATATGTGCACTAGTTGTAATTCTGTTGTGTAGATTTTGATATTTCTACTTTAAATGATACTTTCTGGTACAAATTGACAAGAAAAATAAAAATCATGGGTAATTTGCAATAAATTTTCTTCTCTAGAGCTTCTTTTATAAATATGAGCATCATCTAATCAGTCAAAACAAGATCGTGGGAGTACTACAGGACTTCAAAACAAGTTAATAGGAAATCAAAAAGAGTTACTATTTATATATCCTAATTTTTTGAATTTTTTCTTTAATTAAGACAAACAGAAGAAATGACTAATTTTTTTAAAACAATAAGGGGGAGATTGAGATAAAGCAGGACATAACAATAAAACAATAGAGGTCACAGCATGACTGTTTCAAAAACCTAGTACTTCACCACCATATAACCTGACTTAATAGTAGGTACCATAGTTTTTTGGATCATTGAACACAGCTGTTTGCAGTCTACCTGTTTGAATATCCACCTTGTATTCTTTGATACTGTGATTTGAGGAACTATTTTCAAGATGATAATATGTAATATACTAACAGGTGATTTCTTAATGTTATGTTTTTTTTGTTTGTTTGTTTGTTTGTTTTTTTTGGTTTTGTTTTGTTTTTTTTGCAGTTCTGTATTATGTGTACCCTTACACCGCTTTGGTTTGTTTTGTGTTTTTCTCTTTTTCCTCTTAAATAAAAAAAAATATGAGCATAAAACTATTAGAGATAAACACACACAAACAGACACACATACACACACACACACACACACACACAAAGCGTATTAAAGCTAATTAAATGCAAGCTCTCGAAGTCCCTTTTAAATATGGTAAAATTTTTCCAAAATTAACCCTTCTTAGAATATTGAATAAGTTTCTTCCTTGGATACACTGTGGAATTCCATTTGCATGGAAAATGTCATCAGCCTTGTAGAAACATTTTGTACATTTTTTCACGAATTCTCTTTGTGTAGCAATGCCTTTTAAATCAGGCTGATGAAAGGTGGGAAAATGCTGCTTTTGTTTCTAATCCAGCCCTAGAGCTGTGTTAGAACTAAATGGGCCAAAATTTTTCCACATTCTTGTGTACAGATACAAGAGTATTGCCTGGCATATACCTTGTGAGACGTAGTAACTTGCTGTTTATTGAGATTACAAGATGACAGTAGGATGAATAACAAGTGCAAAATGGAAAGTAAAGAGGAATAGAATCTTTAAAGATTCAGGGTTACAGTACGTAAGAATTTAGACCAAGATGTCTTCCACAGAGGTGTGATGAGGCTCATACATGTGCCTGCTGTTAAGGTCAGATATATTTGGCTCCTATTGCATCCCATTTTGGTAAGAAACCTCTAACACTGTTCCACGTTTTACTAGGGTTTGTGATTTGCTGACTGAGAGATCACTGCATCCTAACTATACACATAAATAATCAGTCATATTGTGATTAGAGTTGAATGAAGGAAACGAAATGGGTCATACAATTTTACGATTTATCACTAGTCTCCTACCACTTTCATCATCCGGGATTCCTGGATAGATACTTTATTTATTAGTGTGTTGTTTGCACATAAGTGTTGGAAGTGTCACAAGATGCCTTCACTAGTAGCTCGAGAATGTGTGACACACAAGTTTGGATGATACAGGGAAATTGGTGCCTCCGGGGACTTTGGCAGGCCTTTCAGTGCTTGCCAAATGCAGTTGGTGATTTCCTTGCTTCAGAATGCCTGTACAGTTATGGCAAATCTTGTTCATCTTCTGTCATATATTTTTCTTAGAAATAAGCAGTCAAACAAGTGGTGTCTTCCAAAAAATCTTCTGCTAGTAATGTTGGATTGGCAATAACCCCCATAGAATCCCGACATCACAGAGGGATGATTGTTTTCTGGAAACGGGAGCACATCAGCCTTCAAGAGTTCACAACTGTGACACCAACTGAGGAAATGAACAAGCATTCTCAGTCCTAACTGCTAATGCTTAACAGCTGGCATGTCATTCTCACAAGAGTGTTAATATAGCGCCATATCTCACTGTTTGTCCTTCAGCCACTTAAGTTGCAAATCTTCCTTGGTTCCTCTCTAGAATTACAAGGAAAACATTCTTTGGGTCAATTTGCACACTCAGTATAACTTCCATCACTATGAAGTACTTCAAATAAGTCACTGTAACACATATTTGTACTCAGAGAAGCTGAGAAGACCTGTGCTTGCCCTATAAAATCTTCTGCCCTAATCCACTTTGCTCCATTCATTTCACTATGAGGAAATTAGACTTTGTAAGTTATTTTCTATGTTTTTTGTTGTTCATTTGAGGCAGTGATAGAAACTCATACTTTTTAATTTCCACATTTCATTTAAAAGATAATAATTATTTACATATTTGGAAAAAAATTAACATTTGAATGTTCTCCCATGTAGAATGAAAAGCAATTCCCAAGCAACTGGGATGACTCCTACATAATCACCAAGTCAGGTATGGACAGCTGAGGAATCTGTGTCCTCAAAGTTTTCAGACCAAAATTAATTTAAAAATTCCTTGTTTCCTCTTTTAAAGATTGTCCTGTTTTATTCTCTTTAATGAGGAGGAGAGAATGGAAGTGAAATAAAACTTGAGGGTGATAATACCAAAACACATATTCCCACAACATCTAAGAACCATAGTTCTTTTCGAGGAATATGCACACAGAGTGAATTATTTTGTCTCATTTTCAACCATCTCAGCCTGCTTGAGGGGAAAAAGCGACACTTCTAGGAGTGAGGACACAAGAATAGGACATATGTATGCCAAATATCTGCAAAAGTCAGGCAATCAACTGAGACAAAGAAGCCCTTGAGTAGCAATAACCAGGTTGTGAGTTGTGAGTTCAAGCCATGATAAATACCAAGAAAAATAGAGATAGATAAACAGACAGACAGATAGATACACTTAGAGACAGAGAGAGAGAGAGAGAGAGAGAGAGAGAGAGAGAGAGAGAGAGAGAGAGAGAGAGAGAGCTCTTAGTGATTTTACTGCATAATTGTTTTACAGGTTGTTATCCAATATTGACATTCAAGAAGATTTACACAACCAGCATATAAAGGTTTACCAGCTATAATCCCTCATTAAACAAATGTTTTGAAATCTGTACTTGTTCAAGACAAGGGGATTCATTTCCTTAGATATTTTTAAAAGCTCTGAGCCATTACAGAGACTAGGTGATTCCAAAATAACACCACCAGCGATCTTTACTAAAGCCCAAACTTTGAGATGAAACCCACTTACTTCTCACATTTAATTTTACTTCTATTCTTCATAATACCATAGAAACATGTATTCTATTCTTAGGGATATTAAATGTTCACAGTGAGAAAGTTCTTTTTGAGATTTATAGTGTGAATTTTCAAAGAGCCACTTCTCAGTTCAGTTGTAAGTAATAAATTTTCTTCCTCAACATGAATTCCTCTGAAATACATAAAACACTTCTACTTTTAATTCTCTTTTATGCCATTTTCATAAATCTGAGCATTTTCCTCTCTTTTTTCTCCAGGACCGTGATTGGACTGCTCGCTCAGAGGCCTAGATTTTGCGGGAATGTGCTGTAGTGCTTGTGCTGCCTGTCTGTGTCACTGGGACAGGACAACATGAGCAAAGACTTGCATTGTGTGATTGTCCTTGGCTTCAGCAGCCTGAGTTCTGGGTCATTTATTTCTCCCATCTACTATGTTAATTAGTGACACTTTACATCCACTGTGTTCATCCTGTGGATGGGCCTGAAATCATCAGCACACTCTGAAAATTTTTCTTAGCTTTTGAATCTAACATACAGAAAAAGGATGAGGAGCCAAACAACCGTATAATATAAGATACAGGTTTATTTACAGAGAAAAGTGAGGGACAGTAAAAAACCCTTGTTTCAAGTGGGGTGCCCAGGGTTGCATGATGGTGCAGAAAGGCAGGAAGGAATCTTGCATTTACAGAGTGAAGATCATGATCCCTGCCTCTAAGGGTAGCCCCACCCCAGGTCTGTCTCCAACATTGACAGGATTTTTGGTTTCAGTTTGGCATCGACATTGTAAAAACCCACTTTTCACAATATTATAAAACACAGATTTGAAAATGCATGATACACGACTTCTAAATTCTCAAGATCCCATTTCCTTTTTCTGACCTTAAGACGGTGGTCCCTTCTCTCCCCTAGAGAGGCACAATTTAATATTTCCACATAGAAGAGTGAAGTTTCCACGGATTGCCCTAGCATATTATGGCTCAGGGGCAGCAAATGTGGCCAGGGATTTGGGAAGATAAATGGAGATGTGGGATCTGAGGACATTCTCAGATGATTGCATGGGGGTACTATGAATGCACACTACATGGAAACCAGAGAGTGATAGGCTTCGGCCACCAAGTGAGTGTGGGACACCACCATGGCCTTCCACTCAGAGGTCTCCAGGATGTCAGAAACATGAAAATTGATGAATTCCAGTGTATGGGTTTTAAACTGATGTGCACTGTGGAGGTCAGCCAAGATGAGGTTTTCCACGGCATTCTCCACAGAGAGGTTGCTGCAGAGGTGGTTCTCACACATGAGCTTCAGGCGCTCCAGACCAAACCTGGTTGCAGCCTCCAGCAGTTCAGTTGCCATTATCCCTAGGTTTGGTGCCTTTCCAGTGTAATAAAGTATATCATTTCCTTAAAAACTTCAGGATCCATGTCACTGATTTCAACAGGATTCTTTTTGCTTCCTTGCTTTTCATGTTCCAACAACGCCATGAAAACTGGAGAGCGAGCTGCTAAGATGGCTTTGTGAGCCTGGAATTCCTGGCCAGCCACACACAAGCAACAGTCTGAGAGCTGGTATTGCTCCCACAGTCCTCCTAGATCCTCTGCCAAGCAGCCCTCAGGAACCTTAACCAGCTTCCTAATATTCTGGCTGGAATGATTGGTGGGATCTTGTGCTACTTTCACTTCACAGAAGAAGGAAAGCTTGTCATTGGAGAGAAGCCCATTGTTTGGATCCAAAAGAAACTCTCTAAGGATGAAATGTTTGAATCCCCAGTCCTTTCCTCGCACAAATGTATAAGCTTGTGGACTTGAGAGCACCTTGGTTTTCTCTCCTTTGGCATTCAGAATGGAAAAGGTGAATTTTGCATGAGCTACCCTCCTTGGACAGCAGATCATTCCCAGGTATAAGCACACATAATCTTTGCTTTGTTCATCAAGACCATTTGGGTAGAGTCGTAAGCACCATTTCACTTGATCATTTCCTTCAGGTGAAAAGATTGAACTTTGAATACAGTCATCTATTTCCTTAAGGCAAAATCTAATGTTATCAATGGTCCACAAAAAGGACACGTTCACTACTTTGATGTCTGTGGTGTACCTGCTGTCCACTGTTGGCCCCTGTGACATTTCTGCTGGGCCTGCGGTACTGGAAACCCTTAACATCAGCAGAGTGAAAGTGCAGCAAGCTTGTCAAGTCACAGGAATCCAATTTCTTCTTCACCAGATGGCACAAATTTCACTGCAGTCAGCACTTCCAAGACAGGCAGGGCAGTATGGCAATCACAAGTAGAGAGCCTAATGTATAGATTAAAAGAAATACGTATTTAGAAATAAGCTGACTGAGATTTCCTAGTATATAAGTCAACTCTGCAATGTTTGTTGATCACTCAAAGAAATAGCTCACCAAAATGCACAGACCTGAAAATAGGAAGCCTTGTTGAGTCCAGTCTGAGTTCCTTTGAGGAGGCTAATTCATCTGGGCTGCAAGCAAGGATATGAATTCCAAGTTTCAAGCAGGGAACCACCTCATCATGGAAACAGAAAGGATTCTTCCTGTTTGGTGTCCCTTTTATAACTCTTAGGACATTATCCACCCTATGGTGGTTCTTCCCACCCTATTCTAATCCAATTGACCTAGGTTTGTCTCACTCAAAATGTGAGAGTCAGTCAATTTTCATCCTACCTGTCTTTTCTATACGTTTATGAAAACAGTCTGTTTTACTAGCCCAGAATTTCTTTTGTCTCATTCATATGGGGGAGTTCTCTGGTCTATAGTCTTCCTGCCATCTTCTTGCCATTTCCAGAAGATGAGAGGCTAGGGTGGAGGATAGTAACTCCAGCATGCCACTGTTTTCAGTAGGCCCTCTGTGTTTATTCCTTTCTGGTGGTAAGGAGCAAAGCAGGACAGAGAGGTCACTAAGGCAACTTTTCCCTTGGGATCACATGTGGGTCAAAGCCAGTTGCAGGGAAGTAATGTGAAGGGAGCAGTTTCAAGGCTCCATGAGAAATAGGTGTGCTGGGAGTGAAGAGGTGGTTCTTCTGGGTAATCTGATACAGTGTCGGGAGCAAGGAACATGGATTTGGGACAGGTACAAACAGTGAAGATTGGCAGAATGTCTCTAAACCTAAAGTCGAGTGTGGGACAACTGTAAATGCTACTTGCTCAGAGCTCTTAGATCTCCTACAAACCCAGTTCACTCCTTGGACACAATGTTTGGAAATAGTAACAACACTGAGTTCCACTGGCATTTCCTGGGACATGGGTCATGCTGGGAGTGCCAGAAGTCCAAGCAAAGCCTCTCCCCACCATGAGCAGCTGTGAGTCTGCCAGCCTGCAGGCTGAGAAACAAACATCACATCTTCTCCCCCTCTCCCATTAGCAAGTCAGAGGAAGTAATGTGGACGTCCCTTGAGAGGTTGACCCTAGGCAATGTAGTAAGGAGGGGATTTCCTTCTATCATCTCTTTGAAGCCCAATAATTTTATCCATGTTTTGGTTTGTTCTATATAATATTTTTTTTAAAAGCTGGTTGTGTTTAACTGAGTTTCCACATACATGAAAGTATGCTCAGGCATTTTGAAGCAAACAAGAGATTCTAGCACAGCCATTAGTGACTTCCTTTTTGTCTGATTTTAAAGACCTAAAACTCTTTCTCCGACTGTTTGGATTAATATTATACTAGGTTGCTCAGTATGAATTCTCTGTATGCCAAGACATGGACAAGTATTTGGAAGAAAACTAGAGACAACATGATAGATAGGGAAGAACTCAGATTATCTAGTTTTGAAATTTATATCTCTTGCATTGAGTTCTTATGTCAATTTTGCTCTGTTTTGTTGTGTTTAATTTTATCTCCTTTGACACAGTATAACAATGCTGATTTGCAGGGTGTGGGTGAATACATCATTAAACCCAGCACTCACAAAGCTGAGGCAGGAGTATCATTGCAGTTTCAAGGACATGTGGCATTACATACTAACTTGAATTAAAAACCAAAAGAATGAAAGGACAGAGGGAATGAGGGATGGAAGGAAGCAAGGAAAGAAAGAAGGAAGCAAGGAAGGAAGGAAGGAAGGAAGACAGGAAGAATGGCTACCACTTCAAGGATAGATATCACTGGCTCTCTTCCAAAGCTTCTCTTTTTTCTGTTTTACATACTCAGATGTGTGCTCCTGTTTTCCACCAGACTCAGAAGTGTTACATACCCTCACAAACTTGGGGACCTTATTGGGAAGATCACAACAGTACTAATCCCTAACAGATATTTTTTTTGTCTTTTTCATTTTTATTGTTACCAGGGATAGAACTCAGGACTACTGCTTGCCAGGAAATTGCTTATGCTACTGAGAGAAACCCCCAGCCCATCCCTAACAGATTTTAATACTCTATTTTTATTTGATTGTCTGCAAACTTGTCTATTACCCATGGGCAGGTAGAATTCTTTTAATCACTGCTAACTGGAGAAATAATTGCCTCAATGATTGGTAGATTAAATTCCTCTTCTGTACCAGGAAAGCTTTCTGCCATGATGTCTACAAAGTGCTTTTAATGTCATTTGTTGCCTCTCCTTGTCTCTAAGTGCCAGCCTGTACTCAGTATCTGAAGTCCTTTCCTCAAACTGGCCTAAAGTGCTCTGAAGTTTTAAAATGGATTTTTTTTCTCTTGCATATCTGCTTGAATC